AAAAAAAAAAAAAAGAAAGAAAGAAAATGAGGCTCCCTTCAGCCACAAATAAAATGGGATAGCCCTAGATAGGCTACCCCCAAATTATGGAGCCTCCATGTGGAGGCTGCTTGGGATTCTGTCTCTCCCTCTGCCCCTCTCCCCTACTGGCACTCTCATTCTCTCAACAACAACAACAAAATTAAAAAAACAAAAAAACCAAAGACCGTATCCAATAGAGAAGAGAAACCTTGTACCCAAACATTACAAAAGCACTCTCTTCCCTACCTCCAACCAACATTAATGGTATATCATCATCTAACTCCTCTGACCTCAAACCCACAGGACATTTGTCTCTTTTCTGTTCCTCATCCCTCATCTTCCTCCAAAATTAAGACCTCTTAATACCTCATACTGTTTCATATTTCATAATATTTCCTCTTCCCCATTTGGAGTACCAACAACTTAATTCAATTAATTACTGCTGGTTTTCTGGGTGATGACAGACTAAGCTCCCTTCCTCCATGGTCTCTTTCTCGCACCATACAACTCTCTCGTTCCAGACTAACACCCCTAATGTGCAGGTATTGACACCTTTTGGACGAGAAATCAAGAGCTAACCACTCTGATATGAATAAAATCCAAATTGCCCAATGGGAACGTAAAACTCTCCCAAATCTGTACCTTCATTACCCCTCTCCAGGAACAGGCCCTCTAGCCCCTAATAAAACGCTAATTCATCAAATTCTCAATTAACCAACTTATTTTCAGCATACAAACCCCTCTCCTGAGACGCCCTGGTGCAACCTCCAGTTCTCGCTTTTCCTGTCAAAATTCCAGTTCAAGGATTTCTATCTGAATGAAACTTTCCCCAGTTTTGCCCAGAAAGGATGGGATGTCACCACCATGCTGTATACACTTCCCCAGCCCTTAGTTCAATCTCTAAAATGAGACACACTATTCTATCTGGTATTAATAACAATTAACAGTAAGTAACAGACACTGCGAATGTCACCCATACCAGTACTTTGTGTTCAAATTACTCATTTAATCCTCAAAACACCGTGTGATCAATATTACAGTTGTCTTAACTATTTTTTTTTATTTTGAGAGAGAGTGAGCGGGCACAAGCAGGGGAGGGCAGAGAGGGAGAGACAGAATCCCAAGCAGGCGCCACACTGTCAGCGCAGAGCCCAACACGGGGCTCCCATGAACCGGGAGATCGTGACTCGAGCCGAAACCAAGACTCGGATGCTCAGCCGACTGAGCCACCCAGGCACCTCTGTATTAACTACTGGAAAGCTGAGGAAATCGAGGCTCACGGGGTGTAAATGGCAGTCGCGGTCACGCAGCTGGGACAAGCCATCTGCCCCCAGAGCCCACTCCCTTAACCCCTGTGAGTACTGAGTCATGTGTCACTGCACCGGCAGACAGGAAGCAACGTGAGGTCCTCTCTTCCTCATCTTTATCCTCCCACGGGACAAGCTCTGCATATTATCCACGCTCACCCAATATTTGTTGAGAGAATGAGCAAGGAGATTAACACAAGTGGTCTTATCCTTTACAGGAAATACATGCACAGTTAAACAGGCCTGTCATAGAGCTTCCTACCAAGAGTGGTTCCAGTGGTGAGAATTTCAGGTAGGAGGGGGACTCCGTTCTCAAGTAGCTGGGTTATGACACGCCCCTCAGAGGGTCTCCACCACGTTTCGGGCCCTATGTCAATGCAACACCAGGCTGTGTGACTGCCACGGTATCCCGAAAGGAGGCAGAGCAGTACAAAGCCAGAGTCCAACGGCATTGGCTTGATATCCCGGAGCACATTCTCACGGGCGAGTCTTAGCGCTCGTAGCCCATGCCTGTGTATGTCAAATGTCACATCCTCAGGCCCCGATCGACTCCCCCCAGTTAGGCCCCAGCCGGCAGAACCTCCAGAAGAAAAATACCTTCGTCTCGGCACCCGACGCAGACGATACCCGAGAGCCAAGGCCAAGCTTTACGGGAGGCAGAAGGTGACTGACACGAGGCCACTACTGACGAGCACCCTCACCATGTCATGACAACACTGGAACGTGACAGAAACTCTAACTTCTCAGGCCCCGGAGGCCGCCCTACTTCTTTCCCTCTTACTGAATGGGACCGAAACTCGACTCTTAACTTCTCATACCTCGGAAGTCGTTCTACTTCTTTCCCTTTTATTTTCAGTGCTTTGAAATTTTTCTCCCAATCTTGGACTGTAGAGAGATGTTTTTCCACTAGAGCTTCCATATCAACTTGTCCAATTACGATCCATTCCTATTAAAGAATGGAAAACATATTAAAGAAACAGAATTTATTAACATATAAAATATTAGGGCCCACTGATAAAAAGGTACAGATTTAAGGTATTCAGGTAAATTTCAATTTAAGTACTCAAATATAACCATTACTGTAGAGCCTAAAAAAACTATTTAACATATAAAAGTAAGTGATCATCAAACTTTTTTTAAAAGACCACAAAACCCTTTTCTCAGATTCTCTTCTCAAATTTGATGTATCCAAATACAGAATCATTTGGCAAAGCCAAGGCTACAAATTTGAATGTATGCACATTCAATCAGTCCTAGAAACCCGACAGTCAGAAGCAGCACCCGGTGGCAACTGGGAGACCGGCTGACGTCTCAGTCACGCGTCTTGGGAGCGAAAGGAAGGACGAGGGACACAGCTGGGGTCTCTCCCCATTGAGCAGCCAAGGTTCACTCCAACACGAGGAGGAAGTGAAATCCTCTCCACCTCACTACATCTGAGACCTCACTCCAAGGGCCAGTCGATTCAAAGACTGAATGAAAGGAGATAGTTTCCCAAGAGGAGTTAAAATTGACACAACAGAATCTTGTCACATCCCAAGCTGATGCAACTAGTTTCTCAGTCTTCAAAAAGTCAAAGACAAAAAAATCTTGGTTCTCATCTGTGGTGTAAATCTGGGTTGTACAGGAATCCTCACACTGGCTCCCCATCTTGCCGTACTTTTACATTATGCCACATAAGATAAACCGTAGATCAGTACACTTAATACTCATTCAACCAATCAGATGAAACGTTATAACAGAATAACAGACAATTACAAGTTCCATACCTCATGTTGGTGTAAAACAGCTGATAGTCTCCTAAACAGATCTTCTGCTTTGCTGAAAATAGTCAAAAATCCATTTGCATTTCTATCAATCATAACAGAAAAAATAGACTCATCTCCGGCCTCACCCACTCCCCTAAACTGATTAGGAATGCCGATGAACCTCTTCATTTCTCTGTAATATTTAGCCCGGATTTCTTCAAGAGGAGGCCTGAATTGTAACCGTCCCTGTCTGAAAACAAAGAAATAGCTTTAACATATGAATTACTGGAAAAACATGGTTTGAAAATGAAAGGGGCTGTAAGAAAGCTTACTTGTACACTAGGTCTATGCTTATTTCTGGCAGGTTCTCATTAAGTGCCTCCAGGCCCATCTGATACTGGTGTTCGAGGGCTTTGTACAGCTGGTGATTCCAGTGCTGCTTCCACGCACGCATGTCACCGGCCTGGAACCCCTGATAGGTTAGAGTCACGTTTTTTATTTGAAAACCAGGTGACAGAATGGATGTGGGGAATAAGCTTCGGAACTCCTTGGGCCTGCACCCACGGGTTAACAAGGCACAGAGAATTACAAGGCCATGGGATGCTCTCATCCAAGTTTACAACAACAAGATTGGGCAAATAAAGACAGAGAAGGGGGGCCAAGTCCCCCAGAATAGAGAGGGGGGGCAAAGGCCCCCAGAATAGAGAGAGGGGACAAAGGCCCCCAATACAAAGGTATAAGAGGTAAACAAGATTAGGCATTCAGGGCAAAAACACCCCCCCCCCCACCCATTTAGTACTAGAGCAGAAAGCTGCTTTCACAGGAGGGAAGGCTGAAGTTAGGTAAACAGGTAAATTGGGCTATAGACCCTGTGGGGCAGTGAAGCTGCCCAGAGCGGAGATGATTAACAAAAGAAAGGTGCATTTGCAGTGATAGGTATTGAGGAGGGCACCTGTTGGGACGAGCACTGGGTGTTGTATGGAAACCAATTTGATAATACATTTCATATTAAAAAAAACAACAACAAAAGAAAGGTGCCTTGGCAACCCTGAGGTCACGTGTCCTACCTGCCTCGTCCCCTAGGCTAAGACAAACAAAGGTGCTGCCTCCTGCCCTCTGTAAACAACCTTCCGCCAGGCTGCCCGGTGCCCCAACGTTGTTGTGTATTAATCCAAACCCCTAACCCCGAATGTCTTCAAGACCCCCTTTCCCTCATATCCACAAGTTAATGTTCACAGATTCATTGTCCCTTTGTGCGCGTCCATTGCCATGTTTGTAAGCCTTCTGATGCTAATAAAAGCAGAGCAAGGGCCCTTATTTGGGGCTCTTGTCTTTTCTGGACATTAGTCATCTCTCGCTTTAATCCTGCGTCCCACTCTCTTGCTCCACAAGAGAGAACTTAAGACTTAGATTCTACGACAAATGGGGTCTTCATTTAAAGCATTTATATCGTATATAGTGAAATTATGAGCAAAAAACAAAAAAAAACAACCCATTTTTAACATCTTAAAACATGCAACTCCTTCACTGCTACCTGTAGTAGGACAGTTTATATGAAGTCAAATATAAAAATTTCCAAGCTTCATGCTTTTAAATAGTCCACAAAAAGACCGGCAAAACTTAAAATATCAAATTAACGTTAAGTGGATGTTATATATGAGTTTTATACTATGGCGCTAAAAAAAAGTCAGTGGTTTATTTGATCAACTTCTTAGACCTCTTTCTAAAACCCCCATCAAGTGCAGCTCTTCTCTTCCTTCTTCACCCCCTAAATAATCCACCGCACATTTTTAAAAAATAATCAACTGAAAAATATGAAGATGCTCAAGACAGTTTACGCTCTTTGTGCTTCCATATAACCATAAATACATTAATGCTGACACTTGTTTTTTCTTCAAGATCTAAGAATTGGGAGCTCCCAGGTGGCTCAGTCGGCTAAGTGTCTGACTCTTGCTTTCAGCTCAGCTCATGATCTCGGGGATCACGAGTTTAAGGCCTGGATCAGGCTCTGTGCTGGCGGCACAGAGCCTGCTTGGGATTCTCCCTCTCCGGCTGTCTCTGCCTGCCACCCTCCACCCCTGTGTGTGCGCGCACATGCTCCCTCTTTCTCAAAAGAAAAAAAGAAATAAACTTAAAAAGAATTGAAAAAAAAATCTCAGGGCACCGGGTGGCTCAGTCGGTTAAGCATCCGACTTCAGCTCAGGTCATGATCTCATGGTTCATGAGTTCGACCCCACATTGGGCTCTGTGCTGACAGCTCAGAGCCTGGAGACTGCTTCGGATTCTGTGTCTCCCTCTCTCTCTGCCCCTCCCAAACTCACACTCTGTCTCTCTCTCTCTCAAAAATAAACAAACATTAAAAAAATTTTTTTTTTAATTTAAGAACTGAAAACTACATGTAAACAGATAAGACACGTAATTCATCCTCAGCTAAAACCCCCTACCACAGACCGGGCAGGAGGCTCTGCGCATTACACTTACATAAATATCATAATTTATCAAAATGTGTATAGAAATGGAATTTTACCCCAAAAAAAGGAAAACACTCTGAAACGGTTATTTCAATTACTGGGCTTCTGCCCAACTTCGCTTCATGTTCTTCTACACATGTCTCCACCAGCTAAAAGAAAACTAAACAATGGTAACGTTTAAGCACCAAGCCAAAGAAACTACTAAGTCTGAACTGAGAAACTGGACGTTCCAAAAGATAAATGAAAACTTATTTTTATATTTTTAAATGTAAATGCATTGCTAATTTGTGGTCTTTATATACAATTCGGTAGAACTCTACATTTATTAGAAATTTCTTAGTAAAGATTTACAGATAACCTTTATGAACTCGTCCTCAACTCCTATATTTACCTTCTGAAAAGATCACACCCGAAGAGTAGACACCAAGGAAAACATAATTACCTGGGCTTCTACGCTCGCTAAGCCAGTTCTCAGTTCTTGTAATCCATCTTTCCAACGCTGCTGCTGCCGAAGCAGATCAATGTTCATGAGAAAGACGACCTGTTAAAAATTAAAGCACAGCAGTCGCAAAGTAACCCTGGAAAAGCAGTAACTTTTCGGTAGGAAAACCTGACAGATACCAACCACCTCAACCGAGTGATCGAGATTAATTCAACCGATAGTAAGACATAGAAATAACTGATTGATACCCCGACAAAGGCAAACATCGCTGCTGCGGTATTTCTGTCAGAACCGCATCACCGTGATCTAAGAATGAGAGAGCTTCATACAAACCACATTGAGACACTTTCTACAAAAAAATGACCGATTCTGTAACGAGTATCAAGGTGATGACAAGCAAGGAAAGTCTCAGAAGGAGGAGGAGACTACAGAGACTCAACGACCAAATGCAAAAAGACATCAGTGGAAAAGCTGTAAAATTCAAAACCCGCCTATTGCCTAGTTATCATAAATGTAGTATGGTTAATCAAGTTGTTAACAACAGAGGAAGTCAATAAGTGTGAACTCTGTACTATTTTGGCAACCGTAAGTCTGTTAAATAATTAGACTTTCAAATAAGTAAAAACTATTTCAAATTATAACACACGGTGCCTGGGGGGGTTCAGTCAACTAAGCATCCAACTCTTGATTTCAGTCCAGGTCATGATCTCACAGTTTCTGAGTTCGAGTCCCACCCACATCGGGCTCTGTGCTGACAGTGCAGAGCCTGCTTGGGATATTCATTCTCTCTCTCTCTCTCTCTCTCTCTCTCT